GTGAAATAAGAGTCAAACAGATGTCGTGAATAACAATCTTTTTTGTTTGTTTCACCGTACACTTTTTGATAATTTTTGTGTTTGTTTTTATGGGACACTAGATTTCAGCATACAGCATTAGCTCCACTGACTTCTATTTTGGACCGTATCTCTCAGCATCTATGACCAACGACAATCCTTATCCCTTCGGCCTCAACCTGGAAATGTAGACAGTTGCCTGCACGAGTCATTACAATGGAAGACAAGACTGGCTGCAGCTAGCTTGTTTATACCTCTATGCTATGTCGTGGACTGACCGCCGCGACTCTTCTTCCGGCCTTGCTCAGTAGTTGCAAAGAGAGCACAGAAAGGTAGACGATGAGCAAACATGAGCGAAACGTGACCAAGCCATTGGAGGCAGTGTCGAATGGTTACCTCTTAGAGAACGATAATCCGTAGATGCTCCTAATGCGGGACAGAGAAATATATCCGAATACTGATTGTGCGTTTATTAACCTGCTGTATTCTCTATTCTTGTTCATTGCGGAAAAGTCTGTCCCAAATATAGACAATCCAGTTGGCTTTTCGAGTCAAATGTTCATTCAAATGGTGCTTTGTTTCAGATGGGAGGATTAACTTTGCTCGTTCTCAGTTGTTGCTCGGTAGTGCTCGTCGTGGATTCTCTGTCGGGGCAGCATCGATCACNNNNATCACTCGTGTATACAATTTACCTCCTGAGGTCAATAGGTCAACACCTCTGTAATCCATAAACACGAGTTTACTCGCTGTAAATCAACCAGTAGCCACTCGATTCGAAACGCATGTACAACGTACCCAAAGCGAAAAAGGTTGATTAGTTATTCAGCTCATACCTTATTGCCAACCGGTCAAAACCAAAAACCTAAGGAAATTCTCTTGTAGACCGTTAAGTCATGCATCGATTTACTTACGTGTTTACATGAAAAGCTTTGTATAAATTTTCAAGTCGAACCTAATGGTTGTTTTTCGGAATTACGACGTTTATAATTACTTTTATAAGTTTCGCTCAGGTGTAAGTTTTTTCAATTTACGGTCAACTGCTTATTCTTGCTACACCGGGTTCATCATTTTGTATGCCTGCTATATCCACGGACACCAAAAAGAACTCTACTTCTGGAAGTGTTTCGAGAGGGGGGGGGTTATTAATACCTTTTTAACAAGTCAGTTTGGCGACCTACGCTTTTCACCAATTTTTGAAACATGTTCCAGCGTGTAACGCGTATTGTATTGTGTAACTTTTGCAAGCACTGAAGCTGGAGTTCGGTGAAAATACTGCACGTGCTAGTCGTTACTCGAATCATGATTATTGGGGGGGGGATGTCTACATATGGCGTAAAAACATGTCGCAGTCCAAGGCTAAGATGAAGTGCACTTGCTACCCTCTGTTAGATTAAGTAAACGTGCACAATACGGTACAGGTGAATCACTGGTAAACGTTTATATGAGATGGCATTTGTCAAAATTCCGACCGTGTGGAGGAATGGGAACGACATGTCGCTTCTGAGTGCAACCGGTGGTTGGAGTCGGCGAGAATCCTCTCAGCAAGAAGTTGTTTGTATGTGATCTGAAAGTTTCACAACTAACTTGTTCACAGAAATTAAAGAAACGCGGCTAGTCATCGTTATACCGCGGCGTAAGACTTTGAAATCTTGTTCTATTAAAACAGTGAAACGACTAGAAAAAATAAAGTAAGATGGACAGGCCCCGGAAGCGTGAAACTGCCAAAGCTTTGAACTCGGAAATGATAGACACTGCACTTATGAATATGGGTTGACCAACGAAGATGGTCAGTCATAGTTATACCAAGATATTTGACAGAGTTCATTCTGGATACAGTATTTTTACTTATCCCTGTGGTTGCGGTCAAGGATAAGAAGCGTGCAAAACTATGTTCACATTCGCTGGGATTTAAACGTAGCCCCGATTGGGAAAGGAAATGAATATGAAAAGAGCACCCATGAAGGAAGAAGAAGAAATAGTTTGGTACAGCATAAAATCTTCGTTTTTCAAAACACGTGGAGAAGAAGCACAAGGAATATCATAATGTACGCGAAAAATAAATTTTGGGGATAGCGCCGCTCCTTGAAGAACTCTGAAGTTGTTCACTAAAAGTTTAGGTGAAACCTTTTCAAATCTAGTCGATTTTGTTACATCAGTGAAATTTCTGGAAAGCCTAACTAACAATTGCTTGCGGTATTTAAACGATTTCAGTTTCTGCAGCAACTTTGATAGAGGAATGAAATCAAATGCTGAAGAATGGTCAAGAAAGACATTGAACAGACTTAACAGAGGTATCCAAAGGCTTAATGATAAAACGAATAGGAGTAGAGACTGTGATCAAAATGGAGCTGTTAGGCTTGTAGGCTGGCTGTTATGGATCATGGAGAATTTTGATAGGCTGCTGAACACGTTTGATGATAGGTTTTGCGGTCAACTTGAAGGCTGAAGATGTTAAGACTATGGAACTATAACATTCGGTGAGGACAGAAGATTTTGATGCTTTGGTATGATTGTGACCTACAGCCTACAACAATCTAGGATGGTGCAATGACTCGTTCTGAATGGAGCAGCAGCAGCATCCAATTCGAAGAGTGCCCGGGGGTAAACGATTTAGGCCTGCAGCAGAGGAAGAATTAGAACTATTTTTAGGCACATCACAATTTGAGAATGGTTCCACACTAAAAATATTAAGTGACGAGTAGATCAGAAAAATGACCGACGAGTGCTGTAGGAATGTTGCATTGTGATCGTCAACTCCGGTATTCATTTCTGAACGCACTTTTTTCCGGCGAGAAGTCAGATGCCTTGACAGAAGTGCTTGCTGTTTCCAGCCCTAGGGATTCGATCTGAGGATAATTCTTCTAACCATATGTGTTTCAGCTTTTATAAACCTGGACAAGAGTCTGATGGTTCGTTTCTTTTATCTTCGCATCGACTTTAGTAGTAGATCGTTATCTTTTCGTTGGACACGTACAGACCTTGTTTGCATGGATAGGAGGACATACATGAATAGAAACAAAGATGATGAAAACCATAAGAGAGCCTTTCTAAGAGATCGATTGAGAAGATAAACGTTTGTGGGGAGAAGTTGAGGACGCGATATCCATTTAGGTCAGATCGAAATATAGGCACAATGTGAAAAAACTTTGTTGAACAGGGAGTAAACAATTGTCGCCGGCGGAAATTGGCACTAAAAGTGCCAGAGAGAAAAGGGTCGTGTGGTTGATTACTCTGTCCGTTTTGGAGTTACCTGTTGTCGGGGAGTGACAAACATCTGTCATACCTAATCATAGATGGAAGTACGTATTATTGTGGCTAAATTCCCCGGGTGAGTTAAAATCTAGGATGCAGAGCCACAAAAAATATAAATGAACCAAAAAGTGGCGTACGATCTGATTGTGTACAGGAAGGTGCTATGCAAAAATAAGTGAATATTGCTTGAGTAAAACGGGTGAAACTGCCGGGTTAGGCACTCAGTGCCTTCCGAGCAGTACTGAACAACAGCATGGAACTTACCATATCGGGAAACGTTGACAAATTTTTTTACCTCCTTCCCCTTGGTCTTCTTTACTCCGGTTGCACGGTCCTACCGGTGAATGTGAAAGCCATCCATCGACACTAATATCATATATGTCCTTAAGCAGCCAGGATTCTTGTATACAACCTAAACAAGTGTTCATATGAATTTTCGAACCATGAACACTAGTTAAATCCGACATTTTTGGAAACAATAATCGAATGTTAATTCTGACCAATTAGAGAACAACCTTATTGACCAGAGCTGTGCGAATAAGGGTAACGTGCCAGTCTGCGTTTTCTTTTGGTCCCCGCTGTACAGTGAGAAGCTGAAGTGACACGATCAAAAATTTTCTAGCCTGTTTGAAACAAATAATGTGTTTTCTCACAATGGGTATGGATGGTATATTCAGACAAATAATGTGATCTCGTGAGTAACAACAACGTATCATACTGTTTACGAGTGTGGAAATTCCAAATGAGACAGCGTGTAAGTGTAGCACAGCCAATCGAAGTGCTCCCAATAGCAGACAACCTTAAACGAAATATGATTTTACTTTTTTCCAGCCAGTGAACCACTCCTTGTCCCATGATTGTCTTTCAGATAACGCACAATTCACCGCGGTTGAAAATGGTTTTGTTCGTGTGACCTCTGCTAACGTGCATCAGTTGTCATTGGAGAAACAAGAGGAGTATGCTGCACGTTTTCGCTCCAAGGGTCACCTGGTGATCCGACTACAATATCTTAATGAACGCACACGATATGTTCATGCCTCACCAAACACTACAATAGCTCGGTTCAAGAGGTAAGCTCATCACACATGTTATGGTGATCTCATTGAAAATGAGGCTGGGTAACAGTATTAACTGTGACCTTGTCGATACATTGCACCAGCTGGTCAGATCATCAATGTTTGTCCGCACTTTTTAATGCAGATGACATTGTGCTGCTAAGTGAAAATTCAGGTAAGTTGCAAGCTTTTCTGGACAGCTTGAAAGCTAGTGTAGCCATGTTTGCACCTTCAAAGGGTAAAATGTTACTTCAAGACTGGGTTGGTCCAGCACCTAGCCTCACTCTAAGCGGGGAACTAATAGAGCAAGTGGATAAGTTTTGTTATTTGGGCAGCTACATCTCACCTAACGGACGCATCACGGAGGAAGTGTTGGCGCACATACAAAAGGCTCGGTTGTCGTTTGTGGTGCCGTCTCGACATCCGGCTGTCTGGGCACAGTCTAATATATGCCGCAGCAATTCGGCCAGTCCTGCTCTAGGGTGCAGAGACTTGGCCACTATGGGAAGAGGATAAAAATAGATTGTCGGTGTTTGAACACCGCTGTCTACGTCGCATTGCACGAGTCTGTTGGGGTAAGCGGACTAGCAATGCTGAGGTTCGGCGTAGGGCTTGAGGTAATCGCGGTCGTCCACTGTCACCAAATAGGTTGCCACGGCGAGCGATGTTTGCCGAGGTAGGTACCGGTTAGAAAAGGGTCAAGGGTGGTCAAACGAAGATCTGGCATGAGGGTATAAAAAATCCAACCAGTAGGCTAGATCACATAGGCCCCGTTAGACTCCCTGGCTGGGAACCTCGGGATGATGGTCACCGATGGTTAGATACACCGAGTGATATGGCTGGGTGTCGTAAACAGTGGCGCTCGTGCATCTACTCATTATTCTCTTAATACCAGTCTACATGAATTCTCTATCTTCTGCTTGAATTTGCTTTCAACATTTAAGTCTTCGTCCTGCACTTTTATCCAAATGGGCAACCTAAAGACAATGACCAAAACCGGCGAGCGAAAATGCATGATTATTGGTTTTAAAAACCGAACTGAACTTACGACGACAACGAATGTTGCCCTAACGTTGTTGTTACTCATATAACTTTGTCCCATACTGTCCAAAGCATTGAAAATGCCGAGTGTATTGCAGTAGACTGATTCATTGTTGCCCAGCTTGCTACCACACCGATCCCATCCCAAGCCGTATAACTGGTGTTGCCAGTTTCCATAATCCAACCCCACGATTATGCGACCCACCCGCCTCTCAGTGTTTAGCAATATCTGTTCCATGCGTGATAAAAGCATGCTTGTAAGAGTGTTGACTCTTGTACAGATTCCGCAGAGCAATTTAAGTTGCAACAGTATGATTGTCTATCTGCAGCAGAAGTACACCGCTGATTCTCATCGATCTGTTATCTCTTGTGTTGTGCAGAAAGAGTCAGTCGATTGCACTTATCCCGCACCACTGCCTCCAGTTAACTGAGTTTGAGTCTAAAACATCGACCACACGGCCTCTGTTGCTCACCACTGTAGAGGGTTCTTGGGACAACGTTAACCGTTTTCCTTATCCCGTAACCCTGATACCTCTACACTGTTTTGTCAATTTCGCTGCTTACTCTGACATTTTTTCGTGAAGGAAATGATTTTCCATGTCGACTACCCTTGATTATTCAAATGTGTTCTTCTGTTTAGCCGGTGAATTACTCTTGCGGTTTTGTATTCATCAATCTCACAAATCGAGCAGCTTCGTTGTCGTCTGTTTTCATTTTTTTTTCGTTTGATTGGTTTCATCGAACATGTATCTCAGTATGATTAGATGAATGTTTTTTAGGCGTCCCGTGGAGACACTTCACGCTTTGTGAATTCCACTGTGCCCGCTTTTCTGGCACCTTTATATCGTAGCGTCCATTTGAACCTTATGTTTTAAATTTCGAGCAAGGATGCACATCCACCTGGATAGCTTTTAGCGACACTATTCTTTTTGTCATTTCGGAACTTCGCTTTACCCTGTGTTCTATTTAACCACAATAATTCACATTTTTTTAACACCTCCAAAAGCCTCAATATGGTCAAGGTGGGTGTCTCCGGTGGTGACTGGTTACCGTTTCATTCTCGCGAAATGCTCCCACATGACCAAGTACCTCAAGTAGCATCTGTTGAGAAAGTTCTAATTACTGCCTTCCCTGGGTCGTTTTCCCACCAAAGTGATAAGATAAAAAGCTCAAATCTTGGGCTGTAACCGGGTTGGTGAATCACTGGCAGTTCACCTAGGGACGTTGGCTGAAAGCCCTGATTCCAAACCAACCAAGAAGAGGCGTGCGAACCACATTCACCCACATCTTGTTTGTGGCAGTGGTCACCGGCTAAGTTAGGCACTTTGGACGTTTAACCCTATCCAGATGGTATGATCTGACGAACTGGACACTGGCCCCCAATTCACTGTGAACTCTGAGCTACGTCCTGTTGTCTTGCAGGCTGGGTTTCCAGCGAAAGGCTGCGAGTGGAGACCCCGAGGCAATCCATCTTACCCGGTTAGGGCGAATGGGACTTGATATGCACACACGAACTATGAACACCTACCGATTTTTTTCTTCATGTGTTGTGGTAATTTAAGTGTTGAAACAATCATGTGTTAGTTTACTGCCTACTCGTCTTGTCTGTGTTTAACAAGTTCAATGCAGCAGTTACCGAAACTCACTTGACAATGAACTGTTGTGCGAAGTCTAATTACTAACTGGCTGTTTATCGGTACCGCTTTTTTACAGAAAATATTTTGCCGATGAAATCAACGTTCAAAAAAAGAACGTGCGACTAATTTTTCAAGGTCGAGAACTGACCGAATATCCATCTGGTTCCCGTTTAGACGGTTCTACCGCAACACAGGCAAACAAACCTCGTATGAAAAGGCTTTGCGAATACAACGTTACTGATGGATCAACTGTGCACTGCTTAATCACCACTCCTGTCCCTCCCACGAGTACGCCGTCCACTGCAGACACACAAACATCCGGTCGTTCTGGCCTGCGACGGCAACGAACTGGTCCGAGTGATTCTATCCTGACTGATTTTGATATGGGAACACGTTTAATGGAACCACTGTTTGCATTTCTGCTGGCATTCACTTGGTTTTTTCGGATCGCCTATCGTCAGTATTTCAACTCGGTCTCTACGTTTGCATTGGTTGCCTTATCTGTCTTCTTCGTGGGCTCCGTATTTGCAGTAAACTTTGTTAATGCATTCACAGCACTTGGGCGTTTCACTTCCTGGAGTTTAGGTGGGCGACGCCAACGTGTAGTCACTGTAACGATGATTGCAAGACGCGTTGGACAGAACCAGTCCGGTGAGCCAGAAGAAAATTCATCGGGGGAATCTTCAACAACCGGAACTGATCCAGCAGATACTCGTGACACAAACCCAGAAAGGACCTGAATAAACATTATTCTTCTTATTTTTTTCAATTTACTTCTCGTACTGTCAGCACAGGATTCACTGATATTTACGTTGCACTGTGATCTGCTCACCTTTCATGTCTCTCCCCCCCAAAAAAAACAGTCGTTTGCCTTGTTTATTGGCTTGATTCACTTGCGTTCCAGCCCCTCTAAGAATAGCTAAGGCAAACATTAACTGATGAGGGTAAACGGCTGTAACAAACAATCGCCATGTAGTAGCTTATAGCAAAACGAATGTTCCCGTCTGCTCTATCAGTGTTCCAAGCAAGATTCGTATAATTCATTACTAAAAATTGAGAAATTCGCGATTCCGTCGGAAGAACTATAATCGTTGATGTGTTCGATATTTTTGTTCGTTGTGTACAATTAACTTCCCTATGAATACAACCTAAATTCAGAGGCGCGAAATACATGCCCACGTCACCCGCAGTAATTCGATTAGGATTTAGCAAGAATAAAATACATCGTGAAAAAGCGCATGAAAAGCGACGATATATATTGGGCAGCATAATAAATAATAATAATGACTGCATGACCATGAAGGAAACGTGACTAAGTGAAAGCGTTGGATTGTCCATTGTGCACGCAGCACTCACAATGGAGATCTTAATTGTTGGACCAAAATGCATTCGAAGATCCGCCCGGCGGTTGTGCGGTTTTGACCGATGTGTGGATTTGCCTTTGTCCCGGTGGGAGTGCCACTAAGAGAATGGAATGATAAATTATTTGAAAGGAATCCGTTTGAAGTAGGATAAACTGTCTCACCGACTGAAGAGCAAGTTTGCTTTTTAGAATAGCAGTTTATTTCTAAGGCTACTTCATGAAAACGTTCTTAAATCTAAGCCTTTTCTCAAAGTTTTGTTGTGATGAGAAGAACATAAGGGATCGTTACTGGCGGCCAAACGATTTACCTTGTTTCAGTAACAAAAATTGTGCACTATTTAGGGTGATACGATGACAGACATGTTTTATTAACAGCCAAATTTCTAGTGCAAGGATAGTCTAAACTAGGGAGTATACTGAAATAATGTGCCAATGGAAGACAAAGCAAAGTATGCAGATTAATCATTACCTTTAGGCATGTTATCGTAATATTCTTTGCGGAAGTAGTGGTGCTCTCGGGTTTCTTCGCGTACTCCATTCGCAGTTCCTCCAAACACCGGTCCGGTATATGGTTCACGAATAATTTTTTCCATTTGAGAATGATGCGATTGATCAACGGCGGCGACTCGACTGAACGCCATCTGTCCAAACGGTTTTACGGCTACAAACTGTCCGTGAGCACTATCTTCCACAAGTTTTCCATTCATAACCACTATGCAGCCACGAAGGAACACTATCTCTGGTCGTGATCGTGGTGATAATCCGGAAAACACATTGTAAACTCCTGCAGGCATTAACTTATCCCAGCAACCGTTGTCCGCAAGATCCGGTTTGCTCCAAACCACAATATCAGCATCACTCCCGGGTTGAATACGACCCTTCTGGGGGTAGAGATTGGCTAAACGTGCAGGATCTGTGCTCACTGCTCGGACGAACGAACACTGATCAATACCACCGTTGTTCTCCACAGCACAATCCCAAAGTGCCACAAGTCGACAGCCCAGTGCAGCTATTGATTTGGGGATTTTTGAGCTTCGTTTTAAACCGAAACTTGCTTTTACCTCAAGACTCACAGCGCGGTGTCCGGAACCCACAATCAAGGCATCACTTGAATTTAAGTGGACAATAAGTTTTTCACTTAAATTAACATCGGGTCTGATAGGTGGGTCACAAACACACCCTGCAGCTGTAGCCCAGTCCTTTGAGGTGACGAGATCCACCACCGGTTGATCTCCGGAATAGTTATTCGCAGCTGATAGAGGGGCTCCAATCGCAGCTATCGTGGTTTGTCCGAAAAGCAAACTGCGACAATAGCGGCGTTGTTCGTAAAAGCATCGGAGGGCTAGGTCACTCTGTATCCGCGAAATCAATATGGGACATACGCGTTCGGATTCAAATGCATGCAAAGCAGCCTTGCGTATCGTGTCGGCCTCTGCTCTTTCCGGTTGCGAAAACTGATGTAACTCCGGTCCCAAATTGGGACATTCTTTGATAAGTTCAGTTGAAATGTCATCAGCCAATTGAGGTGAAGTTAATGCGGGTACCACAGGAAGTGCACCCAGAGTGCGGCATTGCTTTAAAACCCTGTCGAAATCCTCCTCGTTCAACGCTTCACCATCCGGAACTTTGCCGGAAGCGCCTAAAACTAAAGAATACAGGCATACTCCTTTTTCTTTGACCAAGTATTCCATATCAACCCCAGTTTCTTCGTTGAATCGTGGGACGCGAACACAGACTGCGTAATCACAAAACATTCGACCGGTGGAACACTTGACAAAGTGGTCGAATGAATCACGTAACGTTGCAGTGCTAGGAACATTCACTGTGTTAACTGAAAAACAAAAGGGGTAGCTTGAGTGTCGAGAAACGTTTTAAAAACTGTAACTCAATACAAGCATAATGCACCGATCAAAACATACTGCTTTTCGAAAGTTGCCAACAGAAATGAAAATATATTAATAACAATTTCAAAAGGTATTTTTCTAACTCAAATCAAAAATATTTCACCGAAAACAAAGAAAATTTGTGGCGACCAGGTTGCACTTCAAACTAATGATTTATATGGACGTGAAAACGTCGCACACGAATGCTACAAACCCATTACGGTATCATGAAGAACTTATATAAGAGAAATATCTGTCTTAGATTAACTAACCACCACAATATGAGTCCACTTGAAAACAGTGATATAGGGTACTACACCGTACCGTGCGTTCAGAACGATCACCAAAGCATATGGACAGCCTGGCGCAAACTAATGCGCAGTCGGATTGAAGGACAGTGCTCCTGCAAGATCGGAAGTCTTGTATGCAGCCCCGCCATCTGTGGCTTATAGTGAAGTGGTCGATCTGCTTCCATCGCTGTTTCGAGGGCAGATGTCTGAAGTTCGTACTGACCAGAAATCGGCGGTGATCAGAACAGTCGTTTTACGAGCGACAGGAATCTAATCCGAAAGGACCACCCAGATGCCAATCGACCTACTCTAGCATTTATATATCCCACTAAAATCACGATATCAGCCCGGCTCACTTTACGTAAGGGGTCGTGTAAATTATGATAAAATTCGTCTTTGACTGCATTTGGTCTGCAGTCCGTTGGGGCGTACACCGAGAGGACAAACAAGTTTCGTCGGCTGCTTACTTTGCCCGAACCTCTGAGTCGCAGTGCGCACAACCTACTGTCGACTGGTATCTAATCTAGGAGCACGGTTTCAGCTCTTTCACTAAGAGCTACGCCGGCACCAGCGAGACTGGAAGCCGCAGCCTCATGGTCCCCAGAGAGCCGTAAGTAAAACTCCGCAAATGGGTTTGATAGGGAAGTCAACCGGATAGTGAAGCTGGAGTTTTGTAAAAACAACACACATCGATGGCTTGGGTACCAAGTGTACGAGCACAAACATGCCTGTTGTCCTATACGCATCAGTGTGCACACTAAGTGTAACTTGTTTTAACAGGTATTGATGAAGAAGGGCTTCAGCTAGCGGAGGATTTGGTGAGACTTGGAAAGTAATCGAGGGTTTTTTATTAGACACCTAAGTGTGATGAACAGCAGACGGGGCGCACCCCATAGTCACGAGGACTTGCTGTTCAGTGATGGAAACCGGCAACCTAAGCCCCGGGACTTTGAGTGGTGGACCACATAAGGCCTCGATACGTTAGGCGTGGTACTGAACCGGACGACAGCAGAGCGGCCTACCACCAAAGGTAGGACACGAGAGAACAGCGGCATTTTCCATCTGAGGGGCCAATGTTAGTACGATCATATGAAGAACCCCAGAGGTGTATTAGGGAGTGGGGGTGAATGCGAGATGGGAAGGACTGAATAGTCTTAAGTATGGAATGTTTATCGCTGAGTGAAGAAACTTTAGACTGGAGATACGTAAGTTTCGATAAATTCACCATTCTATGCTTTGTGGACTGTTGTGCCACTCGATCGCCCGGTCCAGAGTAGGCCCTGTTCGAGACTCTCTAGTATTTGCGCAACCAAGTGCGGACTGCCAGGCAGCAGCGATGTTCTAAATAAGCCGGTGGCCAATATTTGGTTCATTCGTCTCTTCTGGAAAACCTTGTCGAGCAACAAATTTTGACAAGGGGCAATGGCCACGTCAAGGCTCTGTCCACAGATGCGTGGTGTTGCTTGCGGTGAACCCTTTCCAGGAGGTAAATCCACCACATCCTCGAGCGCTGCCGCTGATCGCCCGCGACAGCTTATTATGGGGGGGGGGTACGCCCACCCTTTTCAGGGTTAGCTGCGAGATGACGGCCGTTCCCTTGCGCTTAAGGTAATACCAATTCTGATACAACAAGGGAATGCGTAGTTGAAAAGTTTCCTATGGATCAGAACGAGACGTTAATTGGATCAGTGAGCTGGAATCCTAGATGCGTGTTTTTGAGTGGAAACACACGTCGGCCTCTAGACTTTTGAGCGTACGAGCCTATACGTACTACAGTTTTTATGTCGAACGAAGCCGATTTGAATGCAGAGGTCGGAGGAATGGAACGGCCGGCTCCGAGTGACAAGACACTGCTGAGACAGATGTTGAGGAGGATAGCGACGAGCTGCAACATGTACTTGATTATTACTACACCGTGGGAGTTTATATGTTGCCTCATTCATGTGCGCTTTCTAGAAACGCTTCTCTCAATGATTCCATTCTCATTTCGGGCGAGCAGCACATCAAGGAACGGAATATATCCATCCGATTCAAGTCCTAGTGTGAATTGTATAAACTCGTGCCTCGCTGAACGTCAATAACAGCTAAGAAACACATGTTGTTGCATTGCTAACGACGGAGATATCAACAACGTAGCAACAATAAGTAACCAATTCGGGGATATCTTTTAGTTTGTCGTTTTTCAAATTAGCCATAAAAGTGTCTGCCGGTAATGGGCCAAGTGGTGAACCCATTGCCACACCGTCGACTTGGCGGTCATGTGTTCATTGCATAAGAACTGAATGTTCATTGTGCAACGTAAACGGAGTTTTCCCATATGAGATCCGGATTGCGGTGTTTATTTGGTTCTTTACTAGATGATCAATCGCTTCAGTTAGTGGCACATTGGTGAAAAGTGAGAACAAGTCCAGAGAAAACATTGTTTTGTTGTCCGGGTTCACATTTTTCGCTATTTTGACAAACCGACCCGTATCGCGTAAGCTGAATTTTATTATTTTCTTCCAGGCGGGTTCCAGTTTGGAGACGAGTTATCGTACAACCGAGTGGTACAAAAAACCATACACTGAAAGTATGGATCGCAGGAGACCATTTGGCTTATAAACTTTGGGCATACTGTATAGACGTGAGATGCCTGAGTGTTGCGGCTTTGAGCACTCGAAGTCCATCGTCGCGATAAGGTTCTAACTCTTCTCAGTAATTTTTTTGGGGTGCTTTTCAATAGCATCTGTGTTATTCTTGTTCTGGTTTAGTTGCTGAAATTCAGTCCAGTCCATCGAGCAAGAATATAACCGAACTCGGAAAAGCCGTGTTTACACGAATTAAAGGTGGTGCCAGAGGTGTGACTTGATTGAAAATGTCTGAAACTACAAAATCGTAAAACAGTATTTAATATTAATGTTATTAGTATTAATTAATGTAAACACCGGGTCCGATTTCTGTATCAGTCAGTGCTAGAAAGATGACTCCTATTTTTCGCTAGCTGATAACAAGTACGGAAGTTGGTAGTGTATCACCCGGGCCATTAGACAAACAGAACGCCATTTACACGTTCCACCGGTTTCAGATGAATTTTATAACGAAAAGGACTCACCCTGATAGTGCTAAATGAAATAAAAAATCACCGGCCACAAAGAAAAATGAAAAGATGCAAATAAACAAGGAAAGTCAATTTACAGACCAGGTATGAGAAACAAGAGTTTGAATATGAAGCTGAATGTGAGATCAGATTTCTCTGGCAACCAGAAGTCGATCAGCACACATAATTGATATCCTTGATAATTTAATTGTGAAGCTGTAGCGTACTTCGCAGGTACACAAAGAAAGTGACACATGTGTCGCAGTTATTGCTCTAACTTTACCGTAGGATTCAAAAATTATTGTGAGTAAGAAAGAAGAAAAAACTGTTACATGTCGTCGTCTTGTCAAAGCCAACGCAAACAAACCGTAATACTGTTCATACCAAAAGGTGGCTTGTCACAACGTGATATGCGCGGGTGTTAAACATTCAGAGTCAATAAAATGTGCATGTTCTTGTATCTTCTTGATGAGCCGAAGAATTTCTATCCCCAACAGAGTACATATATATTTCTGACTCCCTAGTGTGTGATAAACGAATTACAGTGCAATAATCTTCAGAAAAATAAAGTTTCACGGCCAGTGGGGAGGAATGCAAGCGATCACAAATTAAAGAGACAGGTTTTAAAGAATGGAGCATTTCCGGACAACTGTGAAAACGAATTTGAAATGAGTAGATCAACAAAGTTGAAAGGTGAGATTAAATATACAAAGATAGTTAATAGAGTCAGAATACAGAAGGCTCGGTTAGCATTTGCAAACGTGAGACATGTGGAGCCGTCGCGACATTTGGCTGTCCGTGAAGAGTCGAGCGTATGCCGCAGCAGTTCGGCTAGTGCTGCTATATGGTGCTGAGACTTCGCCATTACGGGAAGAGGATAAAAATATATTGTCGGTGTTTGAACACCACTGCACGAGTCTGGTGGAGAAACCGGACTACCAATGTTGAGGTTAGGCGCCGTTTTAGCGGTCGTCCACTGGAAAAAGTAGTTGACCTGCATAGACTACGCTGGTTGGGCCCTGCATTGCGCATGTCATCAAGTAGGTTGCCACGGCTAGCAATGTTTACCGAGGCAGGAAACGGTTGGGAAAATGTCAACGGCGGTCAATCTAAGACCTGACATGAGAGTATGAAAACACTGACGAGGACACTGGGTCACATGGGGCCCCATGAATGGGGACTCCGAGCTCATGGTAACCGGTGATTGGAGACGCTGAGTGTCGCAAACATTGGCGCTCGTGCATCTATTCAATATTCTTGCGATCCCAGTTGATATTAATTCTATATCTTCTGTTTAAATTCGCTCCCAACATTCCAATCTTCATCCTGCTCTTTTATCCAAACGGGCGGCCAAAAAACAACGACTAAAAACAGCGCACGAAAGTGCATGGTTAACGGGCGTGAAAAATTTAACTGAACTAAGTGAGTTAGATTTAATGATGTTCTGAAGACTAGCAGCAAGTTTGGAGATCCGCTTTGAAACCCAAGGGAACATCAACCCACATTGAAATGATTTTATCGTGAGACCGGAAATCGGGTTCACCACTATCACATATTTGTTTGTCCGCTTATCCGATCATCGAGATACATTCATTTCCAAAGCTTTGTGCCACTGACTATAAAAAGAAACCTGGTTCGTGGCCTAGCGGATAGGGAAAGAAAGATCTGCAGTTAGGACACGCTGGAAGAAGAGGTCCGTACCATAAAATCTATCTTTGCACGTAACGGGTATCCGGAGAGTTCAGTCAACAAGATTGTTCGGTGCACGGAAAACACTTCACAAAACTCCGAGGTTAAGAAAATATCCGTGTACATTTCTTTGCCATTCAAAAGGGACACCAGCTAAGATACAACGAAGATTATCCGACGCAATCGGTAAGACTTTCTATGCATCCAAGCTTCGTGTGTTGTTCACGTTCAAGCCAATTGTGTATTTGCGACTGAAGAACACAGTTCCGAACTCTGTGGTCTTATCCTCATTTACTTGTTCCTGTGGTACAAGGTACATAGGCCACATGGTCAGGCGATTGTCCGAAGGGATTCGTGGACACCACCCTACGTGGATGAACACCGGAACGATTAAATCGCCTATCAGGGCACTGGTTTCACACTTAGCTGAATCAAATCTCTGTGGACGTGTCCGAGGGTTTACAACCCGTGTATAAAGTTCGTAGGTGATTATGGAGGCAGATTCAGTGTCGAATGCTGGCTACAGCAGAAGAGGTGGATATTCGTCTGAACAACCCTTTCTGTCGTAAATTTTGTTGTTCACATGAAGGAATAGCTGTTGCATTCTTCGGAAATCGATTATGATATGCGAAGCCGAGGCTTTTGCTGTCGTTAAGAATCTGAGTCGATTAGATGACATCCCCAAAAGCCCTTTCGATCGTATTGGTGACTTTATCCAGATCTGTGACGTTCATTCTCTAATACCAATTTCAATTCTGTTTTACTCATTTTCTTCGTTCCTTCTCACAATCAAACCCCAGATGCACATTTTTGAAATGCAACTGTCAACTGAAATAGATTGCGACAGGTTCTAGCTTGTTATCTCTTGATCCTGCCTTTTTAAAACCTCATTCTCTAAGGCATACATCATTATATTCCATACTTTAGATACTGGAAAACCATAAGCTCGCGAGTTTCAAACATGCTCGAAAACTCCGCAACCCATGGCTGATGCCGCTCATCAAACCGTAACCGCTTCTTGCAAGCCAGAAACAAATGCTCATTCAAAATACACGGAACTAAGGAATGCCTCCTTCGCTAAAAGGCAGATAGCTTAGCTATCCCAAGCGTGACCACCCAATCCAAATAATTATCATCCCATCAACCCAACTTTGGTAATCCTTGTAGTTCTTGAAACTATTATGTCCAATCACCTGCGTGCGAAACCCGAATGCGATGGTTTGCTTAATGCCCGTCAATATTTATTGTGCCACTATCGGTCACCTTACTGGCTCTCATCTTGCATTTCTATTTAACTGCACTCAGCAAC